GGTAGTACCTACTAAACCAGTGGTTCTCAACCTGGGGTTCCCAGATGTTTTTGGCCTACAACTCCCAGAAATCCCAGCCAATTTACCAGCCGTTAGGATTTCTGGGAGTTGAAAGCCAAATACATTGGGAAACCCACAGGATGAGAACCACTGTACTAAACCATGATACGCTGTGGACCTTGGGCTTGTCATCCTCACCCCAAATTAACCCATCTCTCATGGGGGGGGGGTGGTGGTGGTCAAGATGAATTTGGGAATAGGGGGGACTTGAATTCATTGGAAGCAAAGTATGCTATGGTAATAAATAAGACTCTGAATTAATATTTATTTATTTACGACATTTATATGGTGTCCTTCTCACCCTGAAGGGGACTCAGAGCGGCTTACAAGATATATATATATATGTGTGTGTGTGCAATATATTATATTATTAGCATAGTACAATATCAGTATTATACTGTATATTACTATATTGTACTATACCATTATATTGTAATATTATTAATAATATTACATGTAATATAAAATATATAATTACAATATCATATATTATTAGTATTATATTGTATTACATTATAATATTATAAATATTATATGTATATACAATATATTATATTACATTATATTATATTATTAGCATAGCACAGGAGACAAGGTGGAACTGTCCCCTGGCCCCCTCTCTCTTCACTCTGGCCCAGAGCGTCAGTTGGTGCTAGGGGAGGGGTCCCCACTGATGACATATGCAGTAGACAACAAGGAACACTCCCCCCCCCCCCCCTATATTCTATATAAAAATAAGAAGAAACTGTAACAATAAAGATGATTTAATAAAAAAAGATGGAACTGTCCCCTGGCCCCCTCTCTCTTCACTCTGGCCCAGAGCGCAGTTGATGCTGGGGGGAGGGGTCTCCAACTGATGACATATGCAGGAGACAAGATGGAACTGTCCCCTGGCCCCCTCTCTCTTCACTCTGGCCCAGAGCGGCAGTTGGTGCTGGGAGGAGGGGTCCCCAACTGATGACATATGCAGGAGACAAGATGGAACTGTCCCCTGGCCCCCTCTCTTCACTCTGGCCCAGAGCGGTAGTTGGTGCTGGGGGAGAGGTCCCCAACTGATGACATATGCAGGAGACAAGATGGAACTGTCCCCTGGCCCCCTCTCTTCACTCTGGCCCAGAGCAGCAGTTGGTGCTGGGGGGAGGGTCCCCAACTGATGACATATGCAGGAGACAAGATGGAACTGTCCCCTGGCCCCCTCTCTCTTCACTCTGGCCCAGAGCAGCAGTTGGTGCTGGGGGAGGGGTCCCCAACTGATGACATATGCAGGAGACAAGATGGAACTATCTCCTGGCCCCCTCTCTTCACTCTGGCCAAAGTGGTAGTTGGTGCTGGGAGGAGGAGTCCCCAACTGATGACATATGCAGGAGACAAGGTGGAACTGTCCCCTGGCCCCCTCTCTCGCCCAGGGCGGCAGTTGGTGCTGGGGGGAGGGGTCCCCAACTGATGACATATGCAGGAGACAAGATGGAACTCTTCCCTGGCCCCCTCTCTCTTCACTCTGGCCCAGAGTGCAGTTGATGCTGGGGAGAGGGGTTTCCAATTGATGGCATATGCAGGAGACAAGATGGAACTGTCCCCAGGCCCCATCTCTCTTCACTCTGATAAATCAATATAAAATCCCTTTGATTCAACAGGTGTACTTATAGTTGAAATGGAGCCTTTAAATATGCATACCGATTCGCAAACCCTTAAGCTCCCACTATGTTTGCATTATCTTTTCGTGTGTGATGTTTGGGGAGGGCGGACTGCAGCGTGTCTCAGTAAACAAGTCCTCGGATCCACTTTGCATCCAAGCCTCCCACGTGGGAATTGTCCGCCGAAGTTTGGGAGCAGGCCAGTTGGGCTGGCAATCTGGATCAAAGGTGGCCTCTTCTCCCAAATATCTCAAATGAGCGATCTGCTCCTTGATAGGCCGCCTTGGTGTGTCATTACCAAATAACCGGGCATGGCTCCCGGGAAGAGCGGTAAACATATCTGGAAGTGTGTCATTTTTGGCAGGCATGGAAGCGTCAGTTCTGGAAGTTGCAACACGTTTCCTGGACAATGCAATGGAAGAATGTTTTTTCATAGAGGAATAGAGTTTTATTGTCTACCACGCGTTGCTGTGGCCCAGTCTGTGTATATGTGTTTTGTGTGTATATTTGTGTATATGTGTATATATGTGGTTTTGCGCATGTGTTGTAATTTATTATTTTATTTTATTTTATTTTTTGGCTTTTAAAGTCTTTTCCGCTGTGTTTTTCAGTGTTTTTATGAGTAACGGTCACTCGTTGGCCTGATAGGTGTATTGTGTCCAAATTAGGTGTCAATTTGCCCAGTGGTTTTTGAGTTATGTCAATCCCACAAACGAACATTATGTTTTTATTTATATAGATTTTCATCCTTGCGACTGGGGAGGAGTGTAGATTTGAAAGGCAAGTGGGTCAAAAAGTCTAGCATGCTGTCCCATCTCTGGAGGCTTGTATCCAGCAGAAATGTGGCTGGAAGGGAAAGGGTCTTCCATCTAATCCCAAATTATAGTCTGGCCCTCCAACAGTTTGAGGGACTGTGACCTGGCCCTCTGTTTAAAATGTTTGAGGACTCCTGCTCTAACTGGTTCCAGCCCAGCTTACCTGTATGAACGGATCTCTCACTATGGACCACCTCAGAGCTTAAGATTGTCTGAAGAGGCCCTGCTCTCAATCCTGCCTCCCTCGCAGGCGTGATTGGCAAAGACGAGAGACAGGGTCTTCTCAGTGGTGGCCCCTTGGCTGTGGAACCCCCTCCCCAGGGATATTAGATCAACCCCTTCCCTCCTGACCTTCTTCAAGAGAGTGAAAACATGGTTTTTGTGACCAAGCCTTTAGAGAAGTTGTGAAATTGATAGACTTGGAACAGTGTGCAATGACCATTGGAACGGCCCGGATTACGCTCGTGGATTACATGCTTAACTCTGAATCCATTGTTAATTGTGTACTTTTAAATCCTATTTTAATATTTACTAGCTTTACCCGCCACGCGTTGCTGTGGCCAGCCTTCTCTCCCTCTTTCTCTGCTTCTTTCACTCCTTCCTTCATTCCATTTTCTTCTTTCCTTTCTTCCTTCTCTACCTGTTTACTTCCTTCCTTAGCTGTTTGCTTTCATCCTTCCTTCTCCTTATTTCTTTCCTTCCCTGCGTCTTTCTCTCCTTCTTTCTCTTTTTCCTTTGCTGCGTCTTTCCTCCCTTCCCTTTTTTCTTTCCTTCTCTCCTCCTTCCTTCTGTACCTCTTTCCTTCCTCCTCCCTTTTTCTTTTCCTTCCTCTTTGTCTCCTTTCTTCCCTCTCTTTCTCTTTCCTTCCTTCCTTCGCTCTGTAGTTCCATACTTCCTTTTCTTTCTTTCTTCTTTCCTTCCCTCCCTTTCTCTTCTTCATTTGCTTTCTTTCCTCCCTTGCCTTTTCTTCTGTCCTTTCTTCCTTCCTTTCCTTCGTTCCTACACCTTCCCTTCTGCTCCTTTCTTCTTCCTTCCTTCCTTCCTTTCTCCCTTGTTTCCCATGCTCCTACTCTCTCTTTCTTCTTTCTTTCCTACCTTTCTTCCCTCATATACTTTCCCAACTTCTCCTTCCTTCCTTTTTCATACACCTTCCCTTCCCCTTCCCTCCTTTTGTTTATTTCCTACCTTTCTTCTCTGATATACCTTCCTTCCTTCCTTCCTTCCTTCCTACCTACCTACCTACCTACACCTTCCCTTCCCCTTCCCACTTTTCTTCTTTCTTTCCTTCTTTTCTTCCTTCCTTCCTTCCTTCCTTCCTTCCTTCCTTCCTTCCTTCCTTCCTATTTACACCCCTTCCCCTCATTTCCGTCCTTCCTTCCCTCACCCGCTTCCTTCCCTCCTTCCCGTTCCTCATCGTCCCCGATGACGGCGTCCTTCCTTCCCTGGAGCCAGACGCCAGTGTGTGGGGGCGGCCTGGACCGGGCGTGGCGGAGGCCGAAGGGCTGTCCTCGGGAGAAGCGGGTCACAGCCTCTCCCAGGCGGGCGACGAAGGCGCGCAACGGGGGCCTCCCGGGCAGCCTCCGCTGGTCCAGTCCCGGGAAGGCCACCAGCTGTCCAGGCCCGTGGAAGGTGGACAGCCCCCCGCGCCACACGTGCACCAGGCTGACCCCCGGCGCGCACAGGCGGGCGAGCTCCCACTCCCAGGCCGGGGCTTCAGCGTCGGCGCCTAGGCCGCACTCGGTTTGGCATGGGGGAAGGGGCGGGGCGGCGATGGGAGGGGGCGGGGCTTGCACGGAGGGGGCGTGGTGCGGCCATGTGCGCGTGCTGGGCGACTCGCGCCGGGACTCCTCTGCGCATGCTCCGTTTGGTGTGTAATCGTGAGTTTGTTGTTACGTTTTTTTGAGTTGTGATGATTGTTCTGCATACCTTGTGGTTTGAGGTATGCGTACGCCAAGTTTGGTTATTTTTCGTCCGGGGTTTTTTGCATTTTGCGGCCCCTAACGATGCCCTTTTGGATTTTATATATATAGATTTAAGAGTACTTTGTGTTTTAAGGCATCGACTCATTGCCTGTGTGAGTCCCCTCCGGGGTGAAATATCGTAAATACACTTGGGAACAATTTTGTTGAAATGTGTAAAAAAACACTGTCTACACCAGGGATTGGAAGAGAGTGGGGTAAAAAAATACTTTGCACATTGTTTTACTCCACACTTTGCCCATTTCTGGTCTAGACAGTGAGCTAAATATCTCGATGTGTGGGATTACTTTGCCTCTTCTTGCCAAAACATGTATAAAAGATGTTAGGTTTTAAACTGAAACGTATTGTATTCAAGAGTAATGGCTTGATAGAGCGAAGCAGGATTTGCAACCCCTGTTGACAAAGAAGCAGTCACACCCTGCGCTGGGAGAAACAGTATTCCACCCCTAAGGTTTAAATACCAAGTTCTCTATTTATGTCACTCATAACTATTCTTTTTTTTCCCCCTCCAGCTTTACCAACAAGGCCGACTATGCCAGCTGGGTAGTGAATTTTGTGAACTAGAAGTTTTTGCAAAGGTGCTTCGGGCTCTAGATAAAAGGTAACCCCATCCTAGGAAATGTTGGCCTCTTTTTTTGCTTTTTGCTTTTTTCATAAGCATTTTTGAAATTGTAGAACACATTTGGAAATTCTAATTGCCATAATCATCATCATCATCTTTATTTATACCCTGCCACCATCTCCCCAATGGGGACTCGGAGCGGCTTACATGGGGCCAAGCCCAGGACAGCATTTTACAGCAGAATAAAATCAAAACATAAACAACAAGCAACATATACTTCTAAAGTCACGTACTAGCTTTACTGATTGACATCGAAGCATAATTCTCAGACTTGCTTACCGTGATGTAGGAGTAAGCAATGCACCAGTATATATGATTTCTCCTTTTCAGCAAAAAAGACTAATAGTAATTTTGGAATAAGAAGAAGTGAAATACAGTGTTCCCTCACTTATCGCGGGGGTTAGGTACCAGGACCACCCGCGATCAGTGAAAAAGCACAATGTAGGGACGCTATATATATAAAATGAGAAATGCCTTGCCCAACTTACCGGGTAAGGGCCGTTGCGGCAGTGGGTGCCCCCCTGCCGGCCATGCTACTTGCAAGGGGCTTTCTCTTCTCAGAAGCCCCCTGCGTCCTTGGCCAGCTGGTTAACCGGCGGTAGGCCCCACCCCACCACTGGGCCAACCGGCAGGAGGCCCCATCCTGCAGGGCTCTGTGGCTGCTGGGGCGGGGTGGGGAAGCCGGCCCTGGCCAATCCACCCAGCACCAGGCCCCACCCCTGGATTGGCCAGGGCCATCTTCCCTTCCTTACCTCGGCAGCCACAGAGGCCCAGGGCAGTCCTGCAAAGACTGCTGGGGTGAGGTGGGAAAGTTGGCCCCGGCTGTTCCAATCAGCAGCAGACCCCACCCCTTAATCGGCCAGGGCCGGCACCCCCAACTCGCCCGGGCAGCCACGAAGGCTTGGGGCATCCCTGCAAAGACTGCTGGGGTGAGGTGGGGAAGTTGGCCTTGCTGATCCAACCAGCAGCAGGCCCCACCCCTGGATCGGCCAGGGCCAGCGTTGCCCCGGCAGACACAAAGGCCCAGGGCAGCCCTGCAAAGGCTGCTGGGTGAAGTGGAGAAGTTGGCCCTGACTAATCCAACCAGCAGCAGGCCCCATCCCTGAATCGGCTAGGGCCGGCATCCCCAACTCGCCCGGGCAGCCACGAAGGCTTGGGGCATCCCTGCAAAGACTGCTGGGGTGAGGTGGGGAAGTTGGCCCTGGCTGATCCAACCAGCAGCAGGTCCCTCCCCTGGATCAGCCAGGGCAGGCTTCCCCACCTTGCCCCGGCAGCCACGGAGCCCACAGACTCGTTTCACGTTTAGGGTTTAGAATATTAATTCTAAACCCTAACCACAAAACAGCGAGTCTGCGGAAAGCGAAACCATGAGGGACCACTGTACTTGCATTTTCCCGCAAAAAGTTTGAATGCTTTGTTGGTCTCTCCTGAAATTTGTGAAATGTTTGATAGGACTTATAAAGTGATCTTAGGCAAGTTAGGAATAGTTGATCTTTATTTATTTATTTATTTATGGCATTTATATGCTGCCCTTCTCACCCCGAAGGGGACTCAGAGCAGCTTACAAGTTCATATAATAATAATAATAATAATAATAATACTTTATTTATACCCCGCCACCATCTCCCCAAGGGACTCGGAGCGGCTTAATATTAATATTATATATTGCTATATTGTACTATAACATTATACTGTAATATTATTAGTAATATTATATGTAATATAAATATATATAATTATAATACCATATTATTATTAGTAGCATTGTATTGTATTACATTATAATATTATCAATATTATATGTATATACAATATATTATATTATATTATATTTATTCTATTCTATTCTATTATAACCTCAGTGAATTACGTACAGTTCATTCCCTAGTTGGTTTTGTCCAGATTGTAGCTTCAAAATAATAACAGAAAATAGAAAAATAATCCCTTTCCCTTTGTCTTTCAGACATCTACTTCATCATTGCTTTCAGGCGTTGATGGATCATGGGGTCAAAGTGGCCTCGGTTTTGGCCTATTCATTCAGCAGGAGGTGCTCCTACATCGCAGAATCGGATGCTGCCGTTAAAGAAAAAGCCATCCAGATCGGATTTGTTTTAGGTAAGTGGGGTGAAAATTGGGAAACTGGGCCTGCTTGCTTGCTGGAAAAAAAGAGAGAGATTCCCACAAAATGCTCAAAAGCAGTAAGCCCCTATTAAAAATGGCCGCCACAGTCTCTCTGCAGAGAGGCTTATGCAGAAAGTAGAGCTAAACATGCACCCCGTCATGCTCAATGCCTTGCCCATGTCTTCTTTCCCAGGAGGTTTTCTCTCGGACGCTGGCTGGTATAGCGATGCCGAGAAAGTCTTCCTTTCCTGCCTACAGTTATGCACGCTCCACGATGAGATCCTCCACTGGTTTCGCGCTGTTGAATGTTGTGTCAGGTAAGCTGATGTTCCAGAAAACGGTGGAAGGGTGAGGTTATGGGTTTCAGTATTCAAAAGTTGCTGTGTCCATTAGGAAAATTAAGGTACATATGTGTCATAGTGTTACTAAGCTGTTGAATGGAGGTACGAGTGTGTAAAATCTGTAAACAAAGGAGTGACGGATGATCGACTGAATGTTTCGGTGGAATTTCTACAAGGTTGTGGTGTCTGTATGTTGAACTTGTGTTTTAAAAGATTGTTTTGCATTTGTGTCTCTGAGAACAGCTCAGCAGTTTTACTGAAGTGAATTAGGCCAGACACACAATGTCTGCAGTGACAGTTGTGGTTCAGAAGGGGCAGTGTCCCAAAGAGCCACATTTGCCAGCTTGTTTTTCTTCAGCGTTCGAGGTGTTTTCCTTTGGCCCCTTCTGCATTTGTTGACTATTTCTTAAGTCAGAAGAGGAGGGGGAACAGGGCCAGGGCTTTACTCTTTGCTCTGTGTGCCTGATGAGCAAATAACGTGACTTTGCCTGCCAAACATGAGCCAAACTTATTTATTATTATTTATTTACAACATTTGTGTTGGACCGCGCTCCCCTCACTTCTTTAAAACCCTTCTACCAGATATATCCTACCTTCTTCTTGCCCAGCATTTATTTTTTAAATTTTAAACTATTACATTTGGCCTGGGCATAGGTTTTTAAATCCCTGTCCGCAGACACCTCCAAGGTCATGTGGCTAGCATGACTGCATGGAGCACTATTACCTTCCCGTTGAAGCAGTACCTATTGATCTACTCACATATGTATGTTTTGGAACTGCTAGGCGGGCAGAAACTGGGGCTAACAATGGGAGCTCACCCCATCCGTGGATTTGAACTGCCGACAAGTTTAGCAGCTCAGTGGTTTAACCCATTGCACCACTGGGGGCTCCATGCATAGGTTATGTAGTGTTTAATCTTCAAAGGCACAGGGTTTCAAGCTGCTCTATGACTTTCCCTATTTATTTTATTTATTTATTTACTTTATTTATTAGGGCTGGGCAACCACGGAAAAATTTGTTTCTAAACTCGATTCGTTTTTTGGGGTTTTTTGCGTTTCGATATTTAAAAGAATTCTGAAATTTTCCTTAAAAAAAGTTAGATATTTACAAAATTTCGTAAAATTACGAAACGAATACGAATACGAATCGATTCGTTAATGGCGGACGCGACCGCGCAATATGCTAAAAAACCTCCATATGGGACAGGGGGAACTTTTGAAGCTTCCCTCTCCCTCTGTTGTTGACTGTTGGTGTGATATTTATAATTTTTTTTCACTGATTAAACAAACAACAGCTATAAAACTTGCCCCAGACATGCAGAAATAATAACGAAACGATTTCGAAACGAATACGAAACAATTACGAAACGAATTGAAAAATTCGTTTCGTTTTTAGATGCCCCTGAATGGTTCGTTATTGCTTCGTAACCAAAAAAAATAATGAATTTTTAACGAATTACGAAATTACGAAACGAAACCGCCCAGCCCTATTATTTATATACCGCTTTTCTCAGCTCTCAGGCGACTCAAAGCGGTGAACAACATCAATAAAACATCACAAGACAAGTATAGGGCAATTAAAAACAATTTTAACGTAAATCATTAAACATCTGTATAAAAATCATTAGCGCCTCAACAGTAAAATCAGAATCCAGTCTCATCATCCTTTATTCCGTATTCCTATGTTCAATTACACTGTTTAATCAAATGCTTGTTCGAAATGCTTTCCCTAGGTTACTCCATGTCCGAAACGGCAACTGCAAATACCACTTGGGAGGAGAAACCTTCGATCTGGCGCAGTCTTACATGGACAAGCTGGCGAAGCATGGCCAGCAGGCCAACAAAGCTGCCCTCTACGGCGAGCTGTGTGCCCTGCTCTTTGCAAAGAGCCACTACGACGAGGTGAGAAGACCCAGAAAGAAGGTGGCCTGAACTGAGAAGGGCCAAAGGTCCTGAAAGGTTGACTCAGAGAGGAGGGTGCTTTGTTGAATCCTGGCAACAGAACTCTTAACTCGTTCTGGGTGCCAAATAACGTTAGCATTTGGTTCAGATGCCAGGCTTTGTGGGAAGGAAGTTGTTTCGGTCACTGAGAAAAGTCAACACCAACAAATAGATCATGTGAAGAACAGATTGTTCTTGGTTCTCCGAGTTCTTTGTGAAGCCTCCCATCTTTCCGAGGGCGAGACAACATGTCTTTCTTCTATGGCAGTGTTTCTCAACCTTCCAAATGCTTCGACCCATTAATACAGTTCCTCATGTTGTGATGAACTCCAACCACAACATTATTTTCATTGCTACTTCTGCTAATGTTATGAATCAGAAATGTAAATATTTTATTTATTTATTTATTTACAACATTTATATGCCGCTCTTCTCACCCCGAAGGGGACACAGAGCAGCTTACAAGACAGATATATATACTCACTCTCTCTCTCTCTCTCTCTCTCTCTCTCTCTCTCTCAATTTATTTATTTATTTATTTACAGCTTTTATATTCCGCCCTTCTCACCCCGCAGGGGACTCAGGGCGGATTACAGTGTACACATATATGGCAAACATTCAATGCCAATTTTGACATACAACATATACAGACATAGACAGAGGCTATTTAACTTTTTCTGGCCGCCAGGGGAGCTGTTGCTTTCATTGTCCATCTGCGACACTGATGAAGTACTTCCGCATTCCCCGCATGCTTTTGCTGGAGTCTTTTTATGGCCTCATAAATCAGTTAATTTAGCTTCCCCACACTTTAAGGTGGTACCTTATTTTCCTACTTGACAGATGCAACTGTCTTTTGGGTTGCAAAGGTCGACAACAGGCTACATAATTGGTTGGAAACCCACTCCAACCCGGGCTGGCTTCGAACTCATGACCTTTTGGTCAGAGTGATCTTAATGCAGCTGACACTCAGCCTGCTGCGCCACAATCCTGGTGTATGTGTATATGTGTGTGTGTGTGTGTGTGTGTTTATATACACATACACACACACACACAAAGTATTATATTGTTAGCATAGTACTTATTTATTTATTTATTTATTCACTGCATTTCTATACCGCCTTTCTCAGCCATAGGCAACTCAAGGCGGTTGACAGTCGGCAGTGATTCAATGCCATAACAAATATCAGGGTACAGTTAAAAACAATTATAAAAACAATTCAACATTAAAAATATAATATAAAAAAACAATAATATCTATAAAACAAACAAACAGTATCAGTATTGTATATTATTATACTGTAAGGTAAAGGTAAAGGTAGTCCCCTGACATTAAGTCCAGTCATGTCTGACTCTGGGGTGTGGTGCTCATCTCCATTTCTAAGCCGAAGAGCCAGCGTTGTCCGTAGACACCTCCAAGGTCATGTGGCCAGCATGACTGCATGGAGCGTACAATACCATTATATTATAACATTATTAGTAATATTACATGTAATATAAAATATAATTATAATATTGCATTGTTATTATTAGTATTATATTGTATTATATATCTTATCTGCAGGATATATTTTCATTCACTGGATCAAATTTGGCACAAACACCCAATACGCCCAAAATTGAATACTGGCGGGGTTGGGGGAGGGATTGATTTTGTCATTTGGGAGCTGTAGTTGCTGGGATTTATAGTTCACTTACAGTCAAAGAGCATTCTGAACTCCACCAACGACTGAATTGGATCATACTCCCCACATAAAACCCCCATGACCAACAGAAAATACTGGAAGAGTTTGGTGGGCATTGACCTTGAGTTTGGGAGTTGTAGTTCACCTACATCCAGAGAGCACTGTGGACTCAAACAATGATGGATCTGGACCAAACGTGGCACAAATACTCAATATGCCCTGATGTGAACACTGCTGGAGTTTGGGGGGAAAATAGAGCTTGACATTTGGGAGTTGTAGTTGCTGGGATTTATAGTTCACCTCCAATCAAAGAGCATTCTGAACCCCACCAATGATAGAATTGGACCAAACTTCCCACACAGAACCCTCGTGCTTTGAAGCTGTTCATTGATTTTTCTCTCCCTCCCCTATTTAGAATTTGAGATTGATTCAGATGATACTGTGGTGAGGGGAGGGATCTTCCAAACCCACTTGCATTGGAAGCTCCCACCACAGCAATTGGCTTTTGCAATATAAACTTTAGGTCTGTTAGAAATATATATAAATAAATATGTAATGTTCATTTGTGGGATTAACATAACTCAAAAACCACTGGATGAATTGCCACCAGGTTTGGCCACAAGTCACCAACCAATGACCATCACTCATAAAAATACTGAAAAAACAGCAGAAGGGACTTTAAAAGCCAAAAAAACTCAACACATGCACACAACCACATCTATAGAAACACAAACACACATATACACAAATATATACACACAAACATATACAGCCACAAAAACAAATACACAGACTGGGCCACAGCAGTGCGTGGCAGGGAATGGCTAGTCTATATAAATAAAAATGTAATGTTCGTTTGTGGGATTAACAGAACTCAAAAACCACTGGACAAATTGCCACCAAATTTGGCCGCAAGGCATCTACTAACCCAAGGAGTGACCATCACTAAAAAAAAATGATTTTGTCATTTGGGAGTTGTAGTTGCTGGGATTTATAATCAAAGAGCATTCTCAACTCCACCAATGATGGAATTGAACCGAGTGTGGCACACAAGACTCCCATGACCAACAGAAAACACTGGAAGGGATTGGTGGGCATTGACCTTGAGTTTGGGAGTTGTAGTTCACCTACATCCAGAGAGCACTGTGGACTCAAACAATGATTTATTTATTTATTTATCGTGTCAGTGCTACCAGTCGATTATATTACATTTCTAACAGAACAAAGCAAAAAAAACCCCAAAAACCCAGACAAAATACTAAAATTGTGAGTTTGGTAGTTGATTAAATGTCTTTTGACCAGTCTCTGGCCACTTGGAGTGCTTTTGGTGTTGCTGCAAGAAGGTCCTCCATGGTGCATGTGGAAGGGCTCAGGTTGCATTGCGGCAGGTGGTCAGTGGTTTGCTCTTCTCCGCACTCGCATGTCGAGGATTCCACTTTGTGGCCCCATTTCGGAAGGTTGGCTCTGCATCTTGTGGTGCCAGAGCGCAGTCTGTTCAGCGCTTTCCAAGTCGCCCAGTTAATCTGTGTGCCCAGGAGGGAGTCTCTCCTTTGGTATCAGCCATTGGTTGAGGTTCTGGGTTTGAGCCTGCCACTTTTGGACTCTCGCTTGCTGAGGTGTTCCGGTGAGTGTCTCTGTAGATCTTTGAAAACTATGATGGATCTGGACCAAATGTGGCATGAATACTCAATATGCCCTAATGTGAACACTGGTGGGGAAAATAGACCTTGACATTTCGGAGTTGTATTTACTGGGATTTATAGTTCACCTACAATCTGAACCCCACAAATGACAGAACTGGGGCAAACTTCCCATACAGAACCCCCATGACCAACAGAAAATACTTAAAGCCATCCAGTCCATCTCCCTTCACCAGGACAAGAAAACGTAATCAAATCCCTCCTGACAAAGAGCCATCCAGCCATAGATACAGATCGATAGATGTGATTCACACACACACAGATATAGCATCATAGATTTGAAAGGGACCCCCAAAGAAGGACAATTATAAGTTGCATGTTCCAGACAATCTCCACGTCAACACTGACAAAGAAATAGCAAAAAATACTTTTTACCCACAAGAATAAAGAAATTACCTATATTAGAAACCAACACTTTCTCATTACTTTATTTTCCTGATCACCAGACAGGGCCACAGCAATGTGTGGCAGGGAACGGCTAGTGCTAAATAATCTCGTTTTTTTTGTCTCTGTCACCCACAGGCTTACAAATGGTGTATAGAAGCCATGAAGGAGATTTCGGTTGGTTTACCAGTGAAAGTAGTTGTGGACGTCTTACGGCAAGCTTCGAAGGTGAACTTTCTGAATTTTCTGCAAGTAACCTGGGAGTAGCAGGGCGATGGCTGGAAGCCCTTCTGGGGTTTTATTTTGGAGTCATGTTTTGGGACTAAATAGGAAGTTGGCCTGTTGGGAGCTGGGAAAGTAAAGGACCGCATAAGTCCTGCAATTTTGGACCTGGAAAACGAAAGATGGGACAGTCAAGTAATAGATGGAATAGTATTTCTACATCTGGTGGCTATATGAATGGTTGAAACTTTCTCTAGAGATATTGGTCCCTTGAAGGAGGCATGGCTGAAAAAGCACGCTCTCAGATCAAGGGAGTTATAGTTTGGGTAGGCACCGGCATTCTTGAGCAGAGGAGACTAAAAATATTAGCTTCTGTTAGTCCCAACTTCTGCCAACCTAGCAGTTCGAAAACATGCAAATGTGAGTAGATCAATAGGTACTGCTCCGGCGGGAAGGTAATGGCGTTCCATTCAGTCATGCCGGCCACATGACCTTGGAGGGGTCAACACAACATGAGAAACTGAAGGGGTCACGGCATTAGGAAGGTTGAGAAAAACTGATGTACAGTGTTCCCTCACTTACTATGGGTGTTACGCTCTCGGACCACCTGCGAAAAGTGAAAATCTGTGAAGTAGGGTCGCTATATATGTATATCGAGTTCTGAGGTTGAGGCAGAAGCGAGGAGAAATGTAAAGGCACCGCACATTTATTTATTTTTTTGCTCACTATCTCTGCTTTGCTTTGCAATCTCTTAAAAGGTTTAGCAGACCTTTTAAAAGAAGTACTGTGTTCCCTCATCTTTTTTTCTCTTACTATTGTTGATTGTATGTGGTGCTGATTTCTTTGGCCTTTTCTAAATTAAGTATTCCACAGGATGGGAACTGGCAACAGACTCCAAGAAGGTCAACAAATGACAAGAAGAACAGTTCAGCAAACGAATCTGTCTTTCCCTTTTCTCTCTGTTTTGATGTTAACACATTCATAGGAAGCGATTCTGGCGGCAGCTGCTGTTTACCTTGCCTGTTGTAGTAAGGCACACACAACTACCGCAGGGACAACTAGAAAAGAATCCCGCTATTTCCCCACTGATACTTGAACTGAGATACAGTGTTCCCTCACTTATCGCAGGTGTTACGTTCCACGACCACAAGCAATAAGTGAAAACCCCGAAGTATGGGCGGTATAGATGTATATCCCTTTCCAAGGGTGAAGAAGTGAGGAGAGATTTAAAGGCACTGCACACTTTTTTTGCTAGCTATCTCTGCTTTGGGTTGTTGTAGGTTTTTCGGGCTAAATGGCCATGTTTTAGAAGCATTCTCTCCTGACGTTTCGCTTGTATCTATGGCAAGCATCCTCAGAGGTTGCTAGCTATCTCTGCTTTGGGTTGTTGTGGGTTTTTCGGGCTATATGGCCATGTTTTAGAATCATTCTCTCCTGACGTTTCGCCTGCATCTATGTCAAGCATCCTCAGAGGTTGCTAGCTATCTCTGCTTTGGGTTGTTGTGGGTTTTTCAGGCTAAATGGCCATGTTTTAGAAGCATTCTTTCCTGACGTTTCGCCTGTATCTATGGCAAGCAGTCTCAGAGGTTGCTAGCTATCTCTGCTTTGGGTTGTTGTGGGTTTTTCAGGCTACATGGCCATGTTTTAGAATAATTCTCTCCTGACATTTCGCCTGTATCTATGGCAAGCATCCTCAGAGGTTGCTAACTATCTCTGCTTTGGGTTGTTGTGGGTTTTTCAGGCTACATGGCCATGTTTTAGAAGCATTCTCTCCTGACGTTTCACCTGCATCTATGGCAAGCATCCTCAGAGGTTGCTAGCTATCTGCTTTGGGTTGTTGTGGGTTTTTCGGGCTAAATGGCCATGTTTTAGAAGTATTCTCTCCTGACGTTTCGCCTGTATCTATGGCAAGCATCCTCAGAGGTTGCTAGCTATCTCTGCTTTGGGTTGTTGTGGGTTTTTCGGGCTAAATGGCCATGTTTTAGAAGCATTCTCTCCTGACGTTTCACCTGTATCTATGGCAAGCATCCTCAGAGGTTGCTAACTATCTCTGCTTTGGGTTGTTGTGGGTTTTTCGGGCTATATGGCCATGTATTAGAATCATTCTCTCCTGACGTTTCGCCTGCATCTATGGCAAGCATCCTCAGAGGATGCTTGCAGGGACAACTAGAAAAGAATCCCACTATTTCCCCATGGATACTTCAACTGAGATACAGTGTTCCTTCACTTATCGTGGGTGTTACGTTCCAGGACCACCCGCAAAAAGTGAAAATCCACGAAGTAGGGATGCTATATATTTTTGCTAGCTATCTCTGCTTTGCTTTGCAATCTCTCTTGATTGGCTGCCTCTCTCCCGAGGGAGAGGGTGAAACCCCTTCCATACTCCATTTTTGCCAGGAGGCAGAATTAGAACACCAGTCTGGGCAATGGCAAATATTCATAAACTGGGAGGCAAAAACCCGCGAAACAGCGAGTCCACAAAAAGTGAACCGCGAAGTAGCAAGGGAATACTGTAGATGCATCCTAAAACACACAGAGTGCCTCAGGCAACTATGGCGGCCTGGGATGGGGAGAGTTTTAGTTTCCAAGTTGTGCTCTGGGCTCTTTTCCAAGCTGTTTTACTGTCCCGATTACACAAGCAAAAGCCAGTACTCGTACATTCCAAAGAAACATCTGAGAGCTGTTAGCGTGGCTGCTTTTCCCAACATGTTCTGCCCTCTTCCTTCAAGCAAGGGACCAACGTCTCTGGAGAAAGCACTATTCATGCGTCATTGGCAGCAATTGCAGTGCTGGGTCATTGGTGTAACAAGAAAGGCTTTGAGTATTCATAGAATCTCATATATTCTCTTCTCTCCCCCTTGGTTTAGGCCTGTGTGGTAAAGCGTGAATTCAAGAAAGCCGAGCAGTTGATAAAACATGCGGTGTACCTCGCGCGGTAAGGCATCCCCTTTCTCATAATCACGTGTCGTACCTTCCATGCACCTTTTTGCGTCTCAGTCAAGAGAAAAACAAAATAGATAATCATTATCAATATCTGTCTTTCTAAATCTTTCAGGGAGCATTTTGGAGCCAAACACCCAAAATATTCAGACACACTACTAGACTATGGGTTTTATTTACTCAACGTAGACAACATATGCCAGTCGGTTGCCATTTATCAGGTATGGTCTCTCTTACGTATGGAGTGCTGTTGAGTGGCTGTGGCTTTTTCTTTTGAAATATCTATTTCTTTAGGGTTGTTGTAGGTTTTTTCGGGCTATATGGCCATGTTCTAGAGGCATTCTCTCCTGACATTTTGCCTGCATCTATGGCAGGCATTCTCAAAGGTGAGATAAGACTTCACGTCTGAGGGTGCTTGGCATAGGTGCAGGCAAAACATGAAAGGCTATGAAAGCCTTCGACAATATCTATTTCTTTACTTGAGGTAAACAAAATATGGTATTGGTTGATATGAATATTGTGTATCTCTGTCACCCAAAGCATCTCAGAGTAAAAA